ATAACTTATATGTTTTTTATTCACAGAAACTCTTGTGCACTCGACTCTAGAACCGTGTGATGAGGTAGATTTTACATTCCCTGTAAATTTTAACGAAGAAGAGCATATGGTGTATGTGCGGTGCCGTCCTCACCTCAAAGAGTTTATGGAGAGGGTGTCCCGTCTTTTTGAGATCATTATATTTACCGCTAGCCAAAGTATTTATGCTGAGCAACTTCTGAATGTGCTTGACCCTAAGAGGAAGCTCTTTCGCCATAGAGTGTACCGTGACTCGTGTGTTTTCTTTGATGGTAACTACCTAAAAGATTTGTCAGTCCTCGGGCGTGATTTATCTCGTGTTATCATCGTCGACAACTCCCCACAGGTATTATACTCTTTTCATCTCTGCAGAACGAGTAAACACATATTGTTTCTCCATTCTTACCTTATTGATAAAATGCTAAGATTATAATAGTCTCAAGAGCAAGATGATATGAGCGAATATAGTAGAAGTTCTTAGTTTACGAAGCATCTAGAACTATGAAAGTTGTGTTGGGTTGATTAGAAGAAATGTATTCAAGATTATACATGCAACAGCCATTAAGAATTCTCTAAACCCTAATCTCAAGGCTGTCGCATAATCTTACTGGAATAAGTATATGACGAAATCTTCTCTCGGGTTTTTCTTGTTGTGAAATGTTTTAGGCTTTTGGATTCCAAGTGGAGAATGGGGTGCCAATAGAGAGCTGGTTTAACGACCCGACAGATAAAGAACTCCTTCACTTGCTCCCGTTTCTCGAAAGCTTAATTGGAGCAGAAGATGTAAGGCCGATGATCGCCAAGAAATTCAATCTACGGGAAAAGGTTGACGCAGCTGTAGCTGCACCTGAGTATCCTACTGACGTAGGAGATCCATTCGAAAGGTAAAAGTCTTTTCGCCATAGAAAGGCAGAATCTGGCAAAAGAACTGCGTCCAAGTTACAAAATTCCTGTTCGGTAACAAAGAAAGGAGAAGACTTTGCTCTTAAAGGGGATGCTATAGAAAGCTTGGAGGGATCTGAAGTTGGAGAG